CTTATGGCGTAAAGATTAACTGTCTAACTGTATTACAAGTTCCATTAGCACAACGACACTATATGTACTGAAAATAGATATATGTATTCCCCTTTTAAGTAGCTTGGAAAATATAAAATGGGATATTCATAATTAGTTTCAGATTTTTCCATCTATAATTTTATTATAAAAATTCAACTAATTAAATATTAGAATTGGTGTTGAAATAAAGCTTACATTTTATTGCACGATTTTAATTCTGCGCTAAATTGAATATGATGAAAAATATTTTAAAATTTTTAAAAAATCCATAAAATTCATAGAATTTTATTGCCATTCTTTAGGCAATGCATAAAGCGAAAGCATTGCAAATACTTCTATTGTTTTTTTTTTGTTGTTGTTCTGAATCACGAGTTTATTGAACTTGTGATTTGCATATTTTGAAGGAAGTGAAATGTCAAGTGTGCTTATGCACTTACTTCTATAAACGGCACTTTATGTAAAAGTAACTCCGTAAAGCACAAAATGAAATAACATGCATAAGCTTATCCTTCAGTCTTGAATTATATTCAATATATATTCCCATTATGCATCAATATTAAATATATATATATATTTACTTTTTCCCAACTGTATATATTTGAAAATGCATGTATTGTTACTTAAGCATTTAACCTCCTCTTTACATTTACGTTTATCCAATGGAGTTTATTTTGGAATATATGAAGAGTGAAAATTCAGCATATAATACGTTTTAGTTCAATCTACTAAGACAAAAGAGTTACATTCTGTATATTATTGTTACCGAAATTTTGAAATGTAACAATATTTAACAAAGTAAAGTTAATTTTCTTGTAAAAAAAAAAAATATATATTTTGATTTATTGATCGATTTTTTGGAAACCAAATATTAAAATTTGGAGCTTGATGGCCGAGTGACTGGCGCTGGATAACACAGCTTTCGGGTTCGAGTCCGAGTAGTGCCATGGATGTTTGTAGTGGTCCGAATCAATTTAAACCGTAGGTCCCTGTCTACTAAGACTGTACAGCGTTGCGCGTAGAGTTGACAACCTTATTCTATAAAAGAAATCTATCTTAACTCGCGATCTTCCAGTAGGCTGACGGCCTCGTACCATTATAAGGTTGTTGTGCTAATGAAGAAGAAGAAATATTTAGATTTATTGGAAAATTTTATTATTATTATATTATTAATAATTTCATTATTACTATACAATACTTTTTAGTTCAATCAATCAAGAAAGTTACTTTCTGTCTATTATTGTTATCGAAATTTTAAAATGTAACGATATTTAACAAAGTATATATAATGTTTTTGTAAAAATATCATTTCGGTTTATTGCTTGATTATTTGGAAACCAAATATTAAGAATTATTGGAGAATTTTATTTTAGAAAAGAATAATATTGTAAATGATAAAATTGGAATATTTTAATATAGATTCGTAAAACCATGAGTATTATATGTGATATTTTTAATAATAACTTGGATTTGGGACAATTATCATAAAGTTTTCCAGTTTGAGAAAAGTAAATAATGTTATTTGAAGACTAATTTTTTTTTTTTTTTCATATGCTATACTTTATAACAAAAAGGGCATTTTACACAAAATTAATTTCATAAAATTTGAATTCCTTTCTTTAAAGTAATAATCAAACAGTTCACTTTAAGTTACTTAAGTTATCTTAAAGTAATTTTTTTAAACATAAAATTAATTTTTAATTAATTTACTTTTATTATAATTAGTGTATTAATTAGAACAATAAATTTAAAAAAAAAAAATTATACAAAATAAAGAGAAATAAACATTAAAAATTGTAAAAATAATAATAATAATAATAATAAAAAAATTTTATCAATAAAATTTTAGGGAGTTATTTTATCACGTAGTTTTAATTCAAAAATTCACATTTCAACATACAATGAATAACATACAAATTGCTTTTTTTTTTATAGACCTTAATTTATTGATGTTTCAATAGTTAGGATGCAAGAAATCCAGTTTTAACAAACCTTTTCATTAATAAATTCATTAAAAAGGATTGAATGAATTCATTGAAATTGAATAATTTTTTATTGTTTAAGATCTCGAAGAAATATGTAGAACATAAAAACAAAAATAATTTTTTTTTTTTATTTTACAAATTTTTTTTTTATATTTTTCTATACAACAAACAAAACAAATTTTAATGAACGTATTTTTTTTATTTTTTATTAGTTATTTTACTTCAATATTTCCTAACAATATTTTATAAAACTATACTAATGAGCCATAATATTTTTATAAAAAATTGCTCATAATGTTTAATACAAAAAATATTATTAAAATAAAAATAACTTCAAAGCCCTTAATAATTTAATTCTCAGTCTTATTTGTGACTGAAATAATTAGATTTATTATTTAACATTCTAACTTATTTTTGAAACAGAATAATACATTCAATTTTAAATGCCTATCATATTTTTATAAATATTTCAAATAATGTTTAATACAAAATATATTCTTGTAACAAAAATAACTTTAAATCTCTTAATAATTAAATTCTCAATTCTATATGTGGCTGAAATAGGTTTATTATTTAATATTCTAACTTATTTTGAAACAGAATAATTTATTTAATTTTAAATGCCAGCCATATTTTTATAAATATTTCAAATAATGTTTAATGAAAAATATTCTTAAAATAAAAACAAATAATATAAATAAAATTTTTTTTAAAGTCAATTCCTACTTTTTAACTTGAAATTCTCCTCCTACATCTGGCGCCATCTATTGGTACATACATGCAATTTAAATCTAAAAACTAAAATTAATTAGTTAAATTTAATTAATGAATTAATATTTGAAAAAACCGTATTAACATCCATTGTCATCCACTGCACGTTCAATAAAATGTATTTGAATTTGAGTGGATGAATAAAAAGTATTTTATTAACGATTGAAAATTTGAACAATATATATATAGGGAGAGTGTGAACTAACAATAGAAATTGAATAACTTCAAAGTTCATAATAATCATGACTGAAATAAAAATATTTATTATTCAATATTCTAACTTATTTTAGAAACAGAATAATATATTTAATTTTAAATGCCAGTCATATCTTTATAAATGATTCAAATAATGTTTAATACAAAAAATATTTTTTAAATAAAAATACCTTCAAAGCGATTAACTTATAAGCGAATTTATAATTTTGTTTTAAACTACCAAATTAGGAACATTTATACTTCTACCCAAAAATAAGAGTTTTTCTACGCATTCAAATTAAGCCTTTTAATATTGTTATATTACCAAAAAAAGTTTTAAAAGTTCATTAATCTATTTAAAATGATATATTTCATTTTAAAACTAAATCATTTCAACGAGAAATACTATAACATTTTTGTAATTATGTAACTAATGCATTTAACTATTATAAAATTTACTAGTATTAGGAGCTAATTTACATAATTGGCTTTGTTTTTAAACTTTTTTAGAAAACAATTTATGGTTACATTTTTAACTTTTATGAAACTGTTATCTTTTCTGCGTATATGGTAGAAAAAAAATTCAAAAGATTTATTTAAAACATTTTCCTAAATTTAACAAGCTTGGTTATCTTTCCGAACAAATATTGTTAAAATATTTCTTAAAAATAAAAATAAAAATTGACAACAGAAAAAGTTTTTAAAACGTGAAATTTTCTAATTTCTAAGTATTAATTTGAAAACTAAAAAAAAAAAAAAAAAAAAAAAAAGTTTTATACGGAGCTAAAGGAATGTAACATTGTTCAAAAAAAGTAATAAAATAGTTTTCAAGGACTTTCTTATAAATTATCTCTCGTTATGTTACACAGGGGCTATCTGTGTTTAAAAAGCTATTTGAGAATCGTTTAGATTACACCCTTACGTGCCATAAATCTGGTATCGCCTAGATTTAGAATAAATCTAGACGAAATTACTGAATACATACAACTCCGATTTTTAAAAGAGTGCGTTAATAATAACTTTTTAAAAATAATGGGTATAGCCACATTTCTAATTTCTGAACAAATACACGTTTTTATTTTTCAACTTGAAGCATAAAAATAGATTAAAATGCTTTTCGGAAATTTTCTCTGCCTCTAATGGATAATGCATGTAGCTTTTTTCAAAATTTTGCGTTAAGAAATATTATTTATGATTACAGAACTGAAATATAAATTTAATTTTTTTTTTTTGTTGAACATCTATGGGCCCCATATATATTAATACCACACATATATAAACCACGTACAGACTCCAATATGTGGTGAGAAGAGGACACTTGTATGAGATAAAAGTCGAAAAAAAAACCCGACCAGTTAAATTACACATATTTCCTCAATCGTCATCGGATTTTTGTGGAGCGAGGGGTAGGGGGAGGGGGGAAATTGTGTAAAATATAATTTTTTTTTTTTTTTAATTTATATCAATTAACTTAAAAACTTTGAGGCCTGATGGCCGAGTGACTAGTGCCCTGGCGCTCGGTGTCTCGGGTTTCGCTCTCGAAACCCGGCGATGGCATGGATGCCTGTAGTGGGGGTAAAAGTAAGGCTTTTTTTTCGGGGGTAAAAGTAGCAGGCTTCACATGTGTATCTTGAGTAAAGCTGAATCTTCTATATATATATACATGTCATTATAATGACGAAAGATATTTTTCTTGCCTTTAAATTATAAATACCATAATGATCTTAGAGGCGCCACTGTATTCATGTGTTGTTGTTTCTTATCCCACTTGGCTGGCAATTGGTTGGCCAAGCCCACAAGCCTATACATACTCATGATTGAAGGGGAAGGAAGCAGCTTCTGGAGCACCCGTAGGTAGAAGTCTGACTTTGGCTCCGTGGCTCTCTTACAGAGATAGGAGACCGGGACCTACGGCTTAAAGTGGATTCCGAACCACTACAAACATCCATGGCACCTCCGGGATTCGAATCCGAAACCTGTGGCACCGAGCGCCAGACACTCGGCCATTCAGGTCCCAAATTTGTGAATGCCAACGGCACGCGGTGTTCCCAGGTGGTCACCCGCCCAAGTACTGACCGCGCCCAATGATGCTCCAATGATGCTTGACTTCGGTGATCAAACGAGAACCGGTATATTCAGCATGGTATGGCCGCTGTATTCATGTACATGAACAAAATAATCTTAACTTTTATTTAAGTAAATGTATTTATGGGGTCTGATGGCCGAGTGACTAACGCCCTGGCGATCGGTTCCCCAGGTTTTGAGATCGAGTCCCGGTGGTGCCATGGATGCTTGTAGTGATTCGGAATTCACTTATACCGTAGGTCCCGTTCTAATATGGCTGTAGATCGTTGGGCATAGGACTGATAACCTTACCCTGTAAAATGAAAAACATCTCCTATCTTGAAATCTTCCAGTAGGCAGACAGCCTTGATCCACCATAGGGCTATTGGGCCAATAAAGAAGACGAAGAATCAAAAGAAATCTATCCAAAACTTTTGAATATTCTAACGTATTCGATCCAAAATCATTAGAATATTCTAAAGAATTCTATCCAAGATAAATTAGTAGGGCGTAGGGCTGACAACGCTACTCCGTAGAGAAGAAAAACATCTCTTGTGTCGAAATCTGCCAGAAAGCCTTGGCTCAGTGGGGCTGTAGCGCCAATGAAGAAGAAGTTAAAAACTTTTCATTCTGCTAGCCGATCAGAACTAATAGGCAGGAAAACTAATTTCTATGTGTTAAATTTTTTTATTGTGATAATTTTTAATAGTTATTTTAACTTTTAATATTTCTTTCTGTTATTTAAATTAAAGTTGTTTTTTTTTTTGTTTTTTTTTCATCTTACTTAAGTTTAAGATATTTCGTTTTCTTTTATTATAATTTGATTTTTAAGATGGAGAGGTTTTCGTGATAAATTTTATCACATAGGTAAATGGTACGTTCGCTGCCGACAGACTGTATAACAGGTTCAGCTTTACTAAGATCCATTGATGCCTTTTTTGCCACCATAATTTGAAATTACAACTCCCCCCTTCCAAGCGTAGCATCTGGGAGATTCGCTCCCTTTTCCGTACCCTGATGAAAAAAACTTTCTTGGCCTTACAGTTCGCCCTACTTACAGAAGATTTTGGCTTGGCCATTTCCTGTCGGATATAAGCAAACTCCCCTTTTGTTCGGAAGCACAACATCCTATCCTCATTGCCACCCTTAATGAAGGAAAATATATATATATATATATATAAATTCTTTAAGAATTTAAATATTGTAACCGTGTGTTTTCCTACACACTGTAAGCGCTCTTTTGCGGCGTTCAGGAGAAATGGTCAGAAGGCATCGAGATTCTCACCCCAGAGGAAGTACAGCGCAACGGGCACTGCCGTTAGTTAGAATCTAAGGTTACAATCATCAGCACGAGAGGAAATAACTTTATTTTCGACTTAGAAGTGGAATCTTTCCACGAATACAAAATCCACGATGCTTTTTTTTGTATAATTATTGTATGTCTACCGTGTTCGTGCTTATGTAAATAAAGCAGTGTATTCTCAAACCTATATCTCAACCCAACCACACCTAAATCCAGCTGCACAAACAACAGACAACACTACAATATTAAAATATACTTTGCTTATGTTATTTGAAGTTCTATTAAAATCACCTTCTATAATTATTTTATTTTTAATATCATTCTTTTAATTTTTCATCTCATTTGTGTTAATTGAAAAACATTCTATGTTGTACATAGCTATAAATCCATAGACAAATAGATTCGTAAACTAATCCAATCCATTAAATCCGTACATTAATCAATCATATTAATTTTTTACATCAATTGTCAATTTCTAAGAAATTTTACCAAAGATTTATTTCAGAACATTGCATGTTTATTATGAAATATATTAAAACTGCTTTGATATGCCTATATTAAATTATATCTTTATAACATATAAAAAACAATCTATGTTCCAAATAACATTTAAATTATTTTGTATTTCAATGTATGCCTATAGATCCATAGACATAATAGATTCGTAAACTAATCCGTAGATTAATTAAATATATTAATTTGTTACATCAATTGTCAATTTCGTTGATATTTTATCAAAGATTTATTTCAGAATAATGCATGTTTACTATGAAACATATTAAAATTGCGTTAATATGGCTATATTAAAATATACTAATGAACGACCGTAGTGCAATGATAATTGTTAAACGTAACTAGATATTTAATGTGAGCAATATGTCTAGCTGAAGATTAATTAAATCATGTGCTATCAATTAGAATACATATTATGTAGTGTCCAGTTCGGAATACATATATATTTAGATATAAATGTCACATAATATATTGAACTGTTAACAGTTTGACTGGGAAGTTATAGAGGCATTAATTAAACTATCAGAAAAATAAATCTTTAATAAGAATGGACGGTCGGTTCTATATGATATTTTAAAGATATCTTTCGAATAAATTATATTTAAATAAATAATATATGTTATATATATATAAGTTATTTAATGAATATTCCTGTGATTTTTTTTTTTTCTTACTCGTACATTCAAACTTTATCTATTGATTTTTTTTATTTTGCATTTTTCAGATAATTATCTTTTTAATCGAATCTTTAAAATTTTTTATTTCAGCTAGAGTTGTAAGAAACTTATATATTGTAATTTTTCAAACATTACTATGTATTCATCGTTGACAGTGATTTTCATGTTTCTTTTTTTTCTTTTTATATTTTTTATTTCTTAGATTAAATAAAGATTTTGACTCTGATATATAAAAAGATTTTTTTCTTTATATTAATATTACTATTCAAAATTGCTTAATACATATCTGTAACTAGGCATCTTATAGTATAAAAAGTTATTCTAACAGAAATATTAAGATTTTATGATATTTTAAATGTTACAACTTAAATAAATTCTCTTATATGTTTGAATAAAATTCATTGCATGTTGTTTCTAAGAATTTAAGATATATTTTATTTCTACTCTGTCATTTTATTTGAGATTCTAATATCACGGATTTCTTATATTTATACCATTTTGATATAAATATAAGAAAACTATATTATCTTATATTATTTTGATATTTCCTCTGTACATTTGGCGAAAGTAAAACATTTGAGCGTTTATGTATGTTTATAATTTTTTATAATTTGAAGAATAACTGAGAAGTTTAATTTCTCTCTCAATTCTTTATAGTTATATGTAATCAATATTCCGAAGCTATATATATATATAAATGAATTTATCTTGCGTTCAAACTTTTTTTTAATTAAACAAGTCAGCAAATTTGTTTGGCATTGACAAAATATAATTGATGAAATAATTACGTTGTTATTTCAGATTTTTTTTTTCGTTCTTTTTAAATATTAATCTGAGTGATTTTTATACTTCTTTTTTCTGTCTTTATATTTTTCAGCCTTTATTATTATATTCAAGATTATTATTAAGAAAGATATTCAAGATTCAAAATTTCGTATTCTTATTATTATATACTCTTTCGTATATAATATGTATTATTTCGTATGCAATCTGTATATGCTGCCTGTGGTTTTAGCCAGTCAACCAACCAACATAAAAAAGAAAAGAATACAAAATTGTTTGCTTTTGAATTTGAAAAAGGAGAATTAGGCATTATGCAATTTTCAATGGATATTACGTAGATTAATTGTTTGCAAAAAAAGAATTAAGCAATGGAGTTATGAAATGGTATACAATAAACATATTACGCAACTTTTTATTTCTAATTTTGCTATCGTTATTTTGGGTTTTTTATTAAAAGTATTATTTAAATAAAAAATGTACTTGCTGGAACAGTGTGATGCTGGATTTTAATTGTTAGTATTGCATAATCGAGATTTTGTATTCGTAATTTTAAAAGTTTCTTTCATTTTTTTTTTTTTTTTTTTACTTCTGTTTATTCTTCTATTGTTGTTGAAAATGAATTTATGCTTACAGAATTTTTACATCATTGTGAAATTTGATATTTTTTAATATTTATCATTCAATGCAGATTTCTCAATGATTCTAGAAAAGTTTCATATTTTATTTCCTGGACTTTTCGTTAACATTTTGATTAATATAATATTGATTCTTCAAAGCAACAAACTCAATAGAAGTTTTTATAAAATCCTTATCAATTTCTATTTCATGAATTGTGTAGAATTATTGAAGTTAGTTAGATACTACCGGAACACGAATCAAGTTCAATAACATCAACCTATCCCTGAAGCACAATAATAAATAGAATATTACAAAGAATATTAACCGTTCTGTGCTTCATGTATTGGCTATTATGGTTATTGAATTTGGTTCCTATTATTGTAATGTCCTAATTTGCGTTGTATGAATGGGCTTCGATTACTGAACTTGATTGTTATCTTGTAATATTCCAATTCTGTTTCATGTATTGACAGTTCATGAATTCAATTGGTATATTTTTTGAACATGGTTGATGGTATTGCAATAAAGTGAGTAATATTAACTTAGGGATTTAAGAAATAACTGTTGTGTAATTACAAATCCAATTGCTATTACTATATTCTAAATACATTTTACAATTTACAACATAATAAAAGGTTATATACCCATGGTTGTTCATGAATTATTTCACAACTGTATTCAAATTTATAACCGCCTCTAATCCATGAAGTGCAATATCAATAGAATATTACGAATAATATTATGTTTAACCATTTATTAACCCTTTATGTTTCATGGATTTGTTATGCTTATTGAATTTAAATCCTACTTATAAAAAATCCTAACTTGTGCTGTATGGATGGGCGATTACTGAATTTGATTGTTATCTTGTAATATTCCAACCTGCTTCTGCTTCATGAATTGGCATTTCATGAATTCAATTGGTATATTCTTTGAACTTGACTGATGTTATTGCAATAGAATGCGTAACATTAACTTTGGAATTTAAGAAATAACGTAGACTGCCAAGCTTAATTACAAATCTAAATATTATAACTATATTTTAAATATATTTTGCGATTTATAGCGTTATGAAAGGTTATAAAATCATGGCCATTCATTATTCATTTCACTTTTGCATTCAAATATATATCAGCAGCCAATTCATGAAGCACACTATAAATAGAGTATTACAAAGAATGTGCTTCATGGATTGG